TTCAAATACCACTGAAATTGCAATCATATTATTATTATTATTATTGGTAAATTCTTCTATGCTGGGTATCAGTAAAAGTAATTATTCAAAGTTTTGGCAATAAATGTTTAACTGTCTCTTAGGTTGGGATTCAAATATTCTGAATGATCTCAGTATGTTGGTCCTTATGCTAATTGTGTGGAGAAACAAAATTATTTTTTAAGCAAACACCTAAACAAGTTAATACTTATTTTTAAATAAATATTCTTTCTCGAATAACAGTTTCTCTGCAGTGCGCATTAACCTGTATCATTTAATTTATTCTTTCTAAATGACTGTTCATAAAAAAAACACTCCATTTTCTTTTAAATTATGATTTGTATAATTTACTTAAATAACAATTTTTATGTAATTGTAGACCAATGAATATGCTTACAATTCATTTTACTTCTACTAAAATAAAACATCAATAATTATAAATGGAAAGGTATAAAGGCAATCAAAAGAAAATATTTGGTTTCTCTAAGTACAGAAAAAATGCTCATTTGCCCAGTACAACAGTTGAAAATTTTTATTTTCTTGGGACTTAACTTTTTGAAAAGAAATCAGCAGATACAAGCTGTATTTATTCATATTTATATGTAATCATGTTAATCACATATTCATTAATTTACTTCAAAAGTTTCTTTATATTCGAAATCTGTCTCATTATTTTTAAAATGATGTAAATTTGGACTTACGGCTCAAGAACGTTCATAAAATCTATTATGTGGCTCCCATCGTCTTGAGGTTTGGCCATCCCTGCTATAAACTTTGGACAGTGTACACCCACTTTTCATACATGAGCAAAATATTATGAGCATAACTACTTTTTATCTGAAAACTTTTTTAAATTAATGCATGCAAAATTTAAAGTAGGAATGGAAAATTTTACGTATGTCAGTTTAAATTTTAAATTAATACTTATCAGATTTAAAATAGGTAAACTCTTATATTGATAGAGAAAGCAGTAAGAGGTTAATGCTAAAGAATATAAATATGATCTTATTAAGGATTGGGATAAAGGTTTTCAATACATAAGCAATAATTAAAAGTAGGGAAACGTAATTTCCACATTAAAAGAAAGGGAGGGAGGGAGGCCACAGACGATATTTGCCGGGCCGGGAAACTTCCATTAAAACCCGAAAGATACTAAAATAGCTCTTAACATCCATGCTACTAACAATATTATGAAGGTTTTGAATAGTAAGTTAATAATGGAAAGCACTGTAAAGTTTTTGTGATAGAATGTTGATGTTTTAAGAATCTACATAATATTAAAGTAAGTGCCTTGCTTGACAACTGTAAAAAGCTGTATTTGAAAATTATATTCACCAATGACCCATTTTTTAGAATGTCTTTAAAAAGGTATTTTAAGAGAAGAGTTCCACTAATAAGTTGACTTCAAGGCTCATATGAGAGTACTTTCAGCTACGGATGGACAAAATCATCTACAAATATGCTTATAAAATTCATTTACTGTATTGACTAGCATGTATAGTCGATTTATTTAAACTGTTCTTTACTGCTATCATCATTTTGTGCTTTTGATCAACTTGTTATTCTGCTTGTTAAAATATATTCTATCTTATCTCCAAAGTAACTAATACTTTTGCATCCGAGAAGACACTTTAAGTCATCTAACTGATTCTGCAAGATGTGAATGAATGGATAATTTGATCTTAATAAATTCTGAATAATAGAATTGAAGAATGATTTGATAAATTTTTGAATTGATTACTGAAGTTTTCATAATTTTGGGGCACAATTCAGAAACAAAAAAGCAATTTGAACCAATATTTGAGAAACAATTTCCTTTTCAAAAACATTTTTTTGAGGAAACTGACATTCGAATAGTTATCCTTATGTTCATCATGAAAAGTAACAGTATGCTTCATATATTTGCTCAAATAAATGATATCTTCAAACCAAGAATTCTATCTGGTTCTAATAGGTGAAGGATGCAGATTCTTTATCAGCTGAAATGTCTTAAGTATCTCATTCACTTTTATTTATTATTTTTTAATGCAAGAAAGCTGTTTTTATTTTGGTTACAATGGTATTTAATTCTTTGAATTCTTTTATAAATACATCGGCAGCAAGATTTACTTCATCTACACAACACTTGTAGGGAAAAATATAGTCTTCAACAATTATTTTCAGTTAACTGAAGCAAGCAGTCATACAGTGTACAGAATCTGATACTAAACTTTTACTTGGGAGCATTTTATTTCATATTCCTTCAGTATGTCAACTATTGCTTGAATGCAAGTAAAAAAATTAACAGCATCTAAAAGATTGGCACTTGCCAAAAATCAAGACCACTTTATTTCTGAATCAATAGCTTCAACACAACTGCATATACATACCTTCCCTGTTCATCAGATGCGTCATCAACTATTACAACCGTTGACTTACCTTTCTTGGAATATGTACAAAGTGATAAACACTTACATCTATCAGCTTCTCGAGAAAGAAGATTACCAACCACTTACTTATTTTACTAAATAATTATGTACAGCTTGCTAATCTAATCTATTCAGTAGAATACTGATTTTAAACACATTTTCAGTGTATCTTGAAGAAATTCATCTTTTCCTATCTTGGCACATTTCTACATTTGAAAAATACAGTCAAAAGTCGTTAATTCGGACACCCATAATCCGGACCTCAAAGTTAAAAACTTTCTGCGCATGCGCCGCGTTGACACATGCGCATAGGCGTTTACGCGTTCGCAGAATACGTTTTCGCATGTGCGTTTTATGTATAACGAACGGTATAAGCTTAAATTATCTAATTATCTATTTCAGTTAATGTTGATGATTGCGTTGTTCCTTAATTTTCGAATTGGATCCGGCTTATTATTTTTTGCAGACTGTAAGAGCAATACTATAAAAGTAAACTTGAACTTTCGATTATGTCAAATAGAATTTCCGAATCTGGAGTTCACAAAGGATCGTACAAAACGAAAGTATGTTTCGATGTCCATTAAACAAAAAGTGGAATTGCTGCAAAAAATGGATAAAGACATGAAGAATGTGACAGAGAGGTTAGTGAAAACGAAAAAATTTCGATTGACAAGTTAGTCGGTATTCCCGGCACAGCAATTAATGGGACTTGAACAGCGGAACTTTGTAACTGAACAAAAAATTATGTCTGTTTATAAAGAGAAAGTATTATCACATAAAACGAAGCAACTTAAACAACTTACATTGAAAGGAATGTTTAATAAAGTAAAACAAATAATTTTTTTTTTTTTTTTTTTTGTAAATTTTTTTGATACCCTTTAGATCATAATTGTTCTTTATTTCATAAATTACGGTTTCATATTTTTAATTTTATAATTTCTGCATGCCATCTTACGTGATTTAAACTGATGATTTATAATCCGGAAAAATCGATAATCCGGAATCGTCGAAGTCCCGACGAGTCCGGATTAACGATTTTGACTGTACTGAGATATATAGTCTCCTACTTTATGCTGTGTAGGTTTGAGAAGTCTACATTTTTCTTCTTTTGATGACAAGTGCTAGCAGTGTGTTTCTTTTTTTCTCCTTTTTAAATGAACATTTCAATATTTACATATAACTTTTAACTGCAACATATATTACAAATATGTGATATATAGGACACATAGTGATATCTGTGTGCTACTTAAGGACAAACCCTCTTGTTCAAACTCCTTTATTCTGTTAATTTCTTTTTTGTTTTGGCAACCCATATTGATAAAACTTTATAGTCACTAAAACCCATATCACATGCATTTTTTTCACACAAACAATTGTTTCGGACAATTTTTCTACCTGGTTTACTATTGATAGAAAGACCTGCGATTTTTTCCTTCTTTTAAAAAAAAATGCAAGTTCTTCTTTTTAACCAATCAGCTGTCAGCTTCGAATGCTATCAGCTTGCTTGTAATGGGGAACCAGTTTCCCCTGTGTTAACCCCAAAGCAATCTATGGTGATTGGCTGTTGTGACAAAACAGAAAAATTGTTCCAAAGAGTTGTTCTTCTGAAACAAATGGATGTGTGATAGCAGCTTAGATTCATTTACGTATTTCAAAACAAAATGAGAGAAACGTGTATTTATTCCGTAATCTGCGACACAAACAACAGGCAGAACGAGATGTCTGGGGATGAGGTGAGTGAGAAGGCAAGCAAAAAGAATGTATATAACAGATTATAATATATATCACATACTAGCAGAAATACCCGATGCCAGTTAAGTTAGGTTGAGAGTAATGCATCTAACAACAGAGAGAACGATACCGCTATAATCTTTCTCTAATAACGATGCAAAAAATATGATTCATAATCATGCATTTTTCAGTCTTATATGAAACCCACATAAAAAATTTTGATAGAAAAATAAGCTAATTCTTTCTCTCATTATATCAGCAATAATGGCACACAGTTTTCAATGATTTTTATCTTTCTAATCAAATGATTGTAAAAGCTCAAGTTACATCTAATATTTCACCTATATTCAATTTTAGTTGATTAAATGCGTTGATTAAAAAAATTGATCAGAAATCAATAATGCGAACAAACACGCAAACAGACATTTTTTTAATAGGTATAGATAACAAAAAGACAAAAGACTTGAAACAACATATGGTGAATCATTTGACAGCAAGCATTATGAGATTCAAACAAATTGTCTTTGAATACTACTTTTCGCTAATTTGAGTTTTAAATCTTTATAAACAATAATTCACATTTTATTGCTAATGCTGTGAAATTTCACATTTATTTCATAAATACAAAAAAATATATATTTCAAGTTGCATTAAAATTATGTGATCAAACTTTGATTCAGCTAAACAACTAGGATTTTTGGTCGTGGTGGTGGTGGTGGTGGTTGAGTTTATGGCGCATAACCAGAAAAGTTATGTGCGCCAAACACATAGTAGTAGGATTTTTGGTCAATCTTATGTTTTGGCTGGATGTTATTAATAATCAAACCATACACAAAGCAAAAATTATGGATTAATTTCACGATTTATTTTAAAAAACAATGCTTATTTACATATTCTTATACCTCTATTAACAATAAGGCTATGATTGAGTTTCTTCTGTTGTAGTTTTAGGCTGTTTAGGAGGCTCATCCAAAGGCCCAAAATCAATAGCTTCTATAAACTGCTTCTTTCCATGCACTGGTGGTCCAATAAGTTTTTCAATATCCTCATAATTCAATACTTCATGTTTCAGCAATTCTTCTGCCATCTAGAACAGCAAACTGCTTAAATACTGTATTTTAATTACATGACTTTGTTTTACTATTTTTATAACTTGATGTTTTAATTAGTTCTATTTTTATGGATTTTTACATAATTTTGCTGCATTTTATTTTTTTGCAAAATTCCCTAATTTAAAATAATAGATATAAATGTAATCATGTTTATCTTAGTTTGTCTAACATTTTAAAATGCAATTTAATGCAAAAATACCTAATGATATTTTTAATATTAATTGGCAGTGTTTATGCACCTTTTTATTTTTCAAAATAATGAAATTTCAAAGCAAAGTCTAGCATTAACTGCAACATTTCCAATTGCCTGAATTTACAAATGCTGTACTTATACTAAACTGTTTTAAACTATGTTTAGATTTATTTCTTTTACTGTTAATTCTTCCATAATAAGGGGAAAATGACAAATATAAAATGACTTTGCATAATATATACATTACCAAATTCAATTTATCTCTGTTTTCCAACAATACAGTTTCAGTCTTCTTATATGCTCTTGCAACTAAATGGTTAGCTTGCTGGGAACAGATAAAAATATAGATAACTAAATATATACAAAGAAATATGCCAGTATTAAAATAAAAACTAAGCAAAAATCAACCTTAGATTGACAAGAGATTTTTGATAAAACAAATGTTGATTTAAGATTAATATTTGTTTAGTTTTAAATATGTTAATAAATATTTATAAAAAGGAATGAATGACAGAAATAATTATAATATTGTAAAATACATTGGTAATAGCAAATTTCCCACCAGATTTTTTAAGCAATTGTAGATTAATAATTGGAGCATTTCAAGTTATGAACTTTTTTAACATATAATAGGCTTTTGAAAATTCCAAGGTAATAAAATTAGTAGAAAATAACGTTATTTAATTAAAAGAAAGGTGCATTATTAAGTAGTTTAAGGAATTAAATGCAAAAATTAGCACAAAGTTTGCTGACTACATTTTTGTTGGAGCTTAGTCCAATGTTTTGATAAATTTAAACTGAATTCCAACAAAATTGCAGTCTGTAATAAATTCCATGCTTATTTATGTTAACATTTACATTAAAATTCTTCATTTGCTTACAGTTATTTTAGAAGTCATATATATAGTCAATTCATGCTATTGTGATCGTCTGCTACTACCTAGAATAAGCACTTTGGCAACATGGCCAGCAGAGAGATACCATGGGAGTTACTCGATGCCAAATTGTTGCTAGGGGTATCTGGAACATTTAGTTATACATTCCTTTGGTATGACAATAGCTGATGAGTCAACGATTTTAAATCTAGTCATCGAATGGTTTGATCAATGTGACCCAAACTGTGTTTGATTAGGCTCAAATCTGAGAAATCTGGAGATAACAGTAGTAGTTAGAAATCTTGGCTGTGCTCTACAAACTACTTAACAAAAAATTTTTGTTGGATAATATGTCTTACCCTGCTAAAAGATCTCACCAGCTATAAAGAACACATGTACAAAAAAAGAGTAACTGTATCAATTGAGGATACTTTCCAGAAGTATCAAAGAATCCACATCATACCACCTTCATTTGTATGGTAAGCTGCTCGAGTAGCACGTCAATTGGATCTTACTAATCTGTGCAAAGTTATCTCTCACACTGATGGTCTGCGATGCCCCTAAAATCCCATCAGGTTATCAAGAAGGTTCCAATCTTCCACTCATATACTTTAGTGGTATACCAAGGATACATAAACTTCACCTTTTCTAAAGGTTGTTGTCCTTCACTCAATAATCAGTTATCATGTTCTTCTACTGTATTTTCATGTCTTCCCCCCAACAGCCATAAATGTTAAGTAGATATCTTGCTGACATTCTGTATCATATGACTGATACATGCATTTATTTATTGGCTGCATGCCACTAACATCAAAGATAACATGTGATCATAAAAATGTGACTCAATCCTGTATATACCTTAAATATGCAGCATTGCATAAATAAAACAAAGTTTAATTGATTAAGGGAAAAAAATGAACCTGAATACCATAAAATCCTGCTAGAGGTGATTAATTAAAATTTCACTCTTCAATAGCAATAATATCAGGCAAAAAGTATCTTTGCCACATCATTTTGCATGGATATTGTTAATTAATTACTGATGATAAATTCAACATATGCTGTATACAATTATATATACTTAGTTCCCTTTCAAATTTGATTTTTTATTCTCTAATAAAATCCAATGTTTTTCTAAGATTTTGCAAGATACAGTGAACCCTCTCATAATATGCCCACTACTGAAAGTGACTAGCATTTCTGACTATTTAAATCAACATCAGTAATGAATATCACTTCTCACAGATGATCACCACACCTAGAAAAATAAAAATCATTCATTTTTTGGACAGTCTGGTATTTGAAAGTCTCTTAGACTGGTATTTTGGACAGCCTCCTTAGAGGTGGCTCACAGTATTATTCAGCTATTACAATAAAGTAAATTGCATTAAAATCTAATAATAGCAATAAATTTTTATTCTATATATTATTTAAAAAAAACGGGGGCTAAGAACAGTTTTATATTTATTGTTCTAGCTCAGCAAATTTTAAATTGCTTTTTCATGTCTCAAAAGTTCAACTTAGGATATATATTAGGCTTATATATGGCATTTTTTCTAACATATGTGTTATTACCCCCCCTCCAAAAAAAACTGATTTTTTTCTGGAATAACATGCTAAATGTTTTTCCATAATTCAATTCTGTGCCTCAAATTATGCATAAATATTAATTTTGTAACAATTGTACAAGTCATTTTGGAGATATTTGTGTTTATAATTTGATGATACTTTTCAATCTTGCAAAAAATACACTTGGTGAACTTGCAATTAATTGGGACTTATCTCTTAAATAAATCACCATGTGCTAAAATCTTCAATAAATCACCATGTGCTAAAATCTTTTGGAACTTTAAAACATAAGTTATTAATCTGCATTTTAAATGTGAAATTTTTACAATTTAAGAAAAGAATACTGATTTTTTTTTAAGTTTCATATAGTTAAGATGGCAAATATATTTAAAAGATTTTCTAGAATAAAACTTGATACTTATGACTGACAGCCATTTTGAAGATTTAGAATTTGAATTTAATAGATGATTTAAAAATATCAGTATGTCAAATGAGAGAAATGACAAATGAAATCTTCACATATAAAAATATTTGCACACTTCAACTATCCAACGAATGATCTGAACTTACTTCATCCATTGTACGAGCTAAACGCTTACTGTATGGTTTCTTCCCCACAAAATTATCTGTTTCTTCTTCAGCTGGAAATGAGAGAGGTCCAATGACATCATTCATTCCATATTGCTTTATCTGAGCATAAGCCATTTTTGTTACTTTTTTCAGATCATCTTGGGCTCCTGCATTTAGATATAATAAATACTCAATGTCCAGTAAATACAGTAAAATTATATTGATGCTTCTAATGCATAAAATGATTCCTCCAATTTCAGGCGAGCATAGCACCATACCCGAATGAAAATGCTTGAGCATACACCAGCTTAAGCATTTTCAGTGCTCCAGTGCAGTACAAGTACATAAAATACAAGTACAGTGCATAAAATAAACTCAGTAGAAATTCAAAAGTAATTCATAAAAACTATTACAGAATTTCTTATGAATATTAAAAGTATTCACTTCCCCCCAAAATACAATCTATTATTGGTGGGAGAGGATAATCTGACAGTAAACCCATTTTACAGTTTTATTTTATGTTTCAAAATATTTAATAAAATAAATATTAAGCTTTATACTTCAATGATCATTTTGATGATGCTACAAAAATCTGGGAACCCCAATTGAAAATCAAAATATTAAATACATTAAACACTTGTTTTATAAAAGGGTTTTTAATACCAATAATTATAGAAATGTTTAATAAGCTATATTTTTAATACATTTCTCTTAATAAAGCAAAATGATATTTTTATACTGAGCTAAGATTTATTTTTAACGTGAAGGCTAGGAACTTTTTTCTAGACTATTTACACTGGGTTCAAGAATTGTAATCATAAATCATCTTTCTTCCAAATTCAGCATATTTTACTGCTAAATAAGTGCTTTAAGAATGACTAAATCTAGCTTCAACTACATGTAAAGAATATTAAAACCATTGAAACACAGATATACTGTAATGCAAATTTTAGGATATTAGTTTACCTTAGGTGGGCCAAGGTAAGCCGAACCGATATAAGTGCACATGTAGATGACAAGCCTACATGATAAAATGTCACACAAAAAATGCCCACATGTGTAAAGTTCATAAAGTGAAATTATGATTTCTGAAAATCTGCAGTTAATGATTAAAATTATTAAATGTGAGGTTTTCAAGCTGCAATGCTATTAAGTTATGTAAAAGTTAAATTAGTTTAAAATAATTGTATTTGTAATCTTGCTTTTAATTCATCATTATAATAGCTATTCTGAATAAACAAATATTTTCAGAATCAGAGAAGTACTCAAATGTTTTCCTTGAAATAAAAGCTTAACTCTGTTATTAAAAAATGAGCAATTTATCTGTTTTATTTAAATAAAAATGGATTTAACTGATGATATAGCTCAGTGATCTCAAACTCAGACTGCATGTGAGCTATGTGCACTACCTGAAAGCAAGCGATATGTTTTTTAACAAAATTTCAAACAAAACTTGTAACAAAATGTAATAACAGCCAAATATTGAATTTTTGGATTGACATTTATTTCACATAATTCTAATATGCTGATTTAACAATTAAATAAGTTACTTTTAACATAAACTTAAAATAAACAAATTATGAAAACCTCTCTGGTGGAGCAAAACTTGAGAATAAATAATGACAACCTACTCAATTTAACGTATGTATTAAAATTTTTATCCACACATGCAAGAAAAATACATATTGTTGTGTATAAATAATTAAAAATTTTCCTATTTTGTAATACAGCTTGACATTTCTTAGCATTTCGAGTCTGATAGCGTTTTTATCCTTGGAGAAAAACTACTAGAAAATATCTTCACTATGGATTGTAGAAGTCCATTGATGAATTGGACTAGTGCAAAAAAATACACTTCCAAATAAAGTGATTATTTTTAGTGCAAAAATTTGCAATAGAAGATATTTAACTTTTGAAAAAGTCCAAACAAAAATTAATCAGATATGTATATTCAAATCTTTGAAGATTTATATCACACTGTAAATTAATTAGTTTTTAAAGATTAGTAAATTAATTAGTTTATTTCAAAGCAGGAGACAGGAAAAATGAGCAATGCCCTCACTGGGACATGAACCACGGGCCTCTCAAATGCGCGCCGAGCGCGCTGACCACTACAATACAAAGGCATGCTAAGAAGGCGGGAGAAATACCTTATAAGTTCCATTTATAGATTTTCCTGTTCATTACTCACATCCATTTTTAGTGGTAATGAAAATAATTTAAAACTGGACTCCAAATCATTCAATTCCTTAAATCTACCTTCAATTTCTTTTCATAATAATAATATTTATATTGCTTATTGAGATTTTTTGATAGGAATAATAAGGTGGGATTTACAAAGTAGGAATATGTGTAAAAGGTTTTGATTTCAGTTGTGTTTCCCCCATTTGCAATTTAATTTAAAATATTTTAAAAGTTTTAACAGAAAATACATTTCAGTGGTAAGTTTATCCTTTACGTGCAGCTCTTTATTCAGAATATTTAAATGGCCGGTTAAATCAATAAGAAATGCTAAATCCATGTATCATTATGTAGCTGGTTAATGGTTTTACATTTTTTTTTTTTGCATTTGTTTTTTTATTTATTACATTGAAAAATCATTTTAATACAGCTTCTTCACTTAGCCATTTGATCTCATTATAAAAAATCATTTCTCCATACTGTTGCGTGCGTACGGGTTCGTTATGAAATGAATGCACAAGTCCGATGAAAAAATGAACAAAAATTTATTATTATCACAACAGAAATGCTTAAATTTTCTCAAATCATCATGCAGTATCACAATATCTCACAGTAGTTATCTTTTAACTACTTAAATGTACAATAGAACGTAATTCAAAACAGCTAAAGAACGCTAATCCGCGAATTCGCTATAATCAACAACGGCAGTTTTCTAAACAAAAACAAAACAAAGCAACTACTACTAAACTGAGATGTTTTCCTCCTTTTATAAGCTTTTTAAAATCACGCGCTAGAATTTTCCAGTACTTTCTCGAAATCAAAAAGAGATATTTATTTATTTAATGCACGCGCTCTTGTATTTTTAATTTTCCGGCTTAGCTTTCTTTTAATATTCGTCACGCGCTGCACTGCGCGAGAAATAAAACCATTTAATTTATAATTGAACTAACATTAGCTTTTTAAATACCAAATTCGTAACACTGCCCCCTTCCCAAGGACTGCACGTCCCGGGCAGTACAATCCCTGGACAGGAAGCTAAACTTACAACTGTGGCATAAATGCATTAACTGAGGCATAACATTACATTACAATATCAAACAATATAACATAAATGCAATAACTAACTTAAACAAATCAATGCTATCAATACTAATACAAAACAAATACTAAATACAAATCAAATACTAAATACACATTTATAAACAAAAAGGACCATGGTCTGATATTATTTACAATTATTTACATTACGTACTATGGCCATAGTAATGAGCTAACCTGTCGTAATGAACGACTTTAGGTTTAGAGTTCGAAGACTTACGAATCCGAACCACGACGTCATTCAGCCTTTTTAGGACTGTATACAGGCCCATCCCAAGGTGACTGTAATTTCGGACAAAGTCCTTTCCGTCGAGTCGGATTCCACAACCACACCTTGTCTCCTTCGTGGAACTGATGTTCAGTAGCTCTTGTGTCGTAGCGGGTCTTCATCTTCTTCGTCGCCAAGTTGACATGCTCTCATGCAAAGTTGTGCATCACTTCAAACCGGGCCTGGAGATCTTGAATATATTCCTCAGACGATGAAGGAGCATCCGGAGGGCGGCCAAACAATAGATCACAAGGCAGATGAAGGTCTGTGATGGAGAATAGCCGGTAGTCTCGTGTACAGCACTGCGGTAAGCCAGTAAAAAGAGTGGTAATTTCTTGTCCCAATCCTGTTGGTTTCTGTAAACCACTAATGAGAGGTTATTAAGGATGGTTCGATTGAACCTCTCTACCATGCCGTCCGACTGGGGATGCAATGGCGTCGTTTGAGTTTTGTCAATGCCGAGTAGTTTGCATAGTTCTTTGATTACTGCCGAGGCAAAATTCCTTCCCTGATCGGAATGTAACTGAAGAGGCACTCCGAACCTGGAAATCCAGTGCTGTATCATTACCTCAGTTACTGTGACAGCCTCTTGATCAGGAATAGGATAAGCTTCAGGCCACTTGGTGAAGTAATCAATGACAACGAGTATGTATTTGTTGCCATCAGCAGTTCGTGGCAGAGGTCCCAGGATGTCAAAGGCGATACGTTCAAAAGGCGCCCCTACGTTGTAACGTTGCAGCTTGCCTCGGCTGCGTCTCCTCGGTCCTTTCCGACCTGTCCAGGCATCGCAAGATCGGCACCACTTTTGCACGTCATCCTTTGCATTATTCCAGTAAAAGCGCTCACGAAACTCTCTGCAAGGTCTTCATTATTCCAAAGTGACCTCCAGTAGGGGTGCTTATGTAACTCTTTAAGGACATCAGGAATGTGGGATCTTGAAAGTATAAGTTGCCATCGGAACGTCTTCCCATCATCCGATTCGAATTTCCGGTATAAGACGCCGTTTCGAATGTGAAGTGAATCCCAGAGTGCCCAATATTGTTTGGTTGTAGGACTACAGATAGAAATGTCCTGCCAGGTAGGTTTTCTGTTTGATGACTCCATTAAATCAATTATGGGTTTAATGTCGCAGTCTTCCAGCTGGTCTTTCCTGACTTCATCATCACTCCACGGTTCTCGATCAGCCGATGTTGATGTTGTAATTTGTCTTGCGACCGGAGTCAGCAGCTCGTATTTCGCTTCCACCCTGGAACAATATCGGCAGCTTTCTTGGCAAGGTCTTCTAGACAGGGCGTCGGCGTTTCCGTGTGATGATCCCTTACGTTGACGGATAGTGATGTCATATTCTTGGAGTCTCCGTATCCACCTGGTTATTTGACCCTCAGGATTCTTGAAATTTAAAAGCCAGGTCAATGATGCATGATCGGTGCGGAACAGGAATTTTCTGCCGTATAGATACTGATGGAACTGTTCTACAGCTTTGACTATGGCAAGCAACTCTTTCCTGGTGACACAATAATTCCTCTCCGGTTTAGACAGGCACTTGCTCCAGTATGCCACTACACGTTCTTGGCCGTCTATTTCTTGGGACAAAACAGCACCAACACTTTCATTACTCGC